AGAAATTTTAACACATGCTATATAGCATGGATGAACTTTGAGGACATGATGCTAAGTGAAATAAACCAGTCAAAAAAGACAAATATTGTATGATTCCGCTTATATGAAGTATCTAGAGTACTCAAATTCATAGAAAAAGTGGAATGGTGGTTTCCAGGGACTGGGGCAGGGGTAAATGGTGAGTTGTGCAATGGGTACGGAATTTTAGTTTTGCAAGATGAAAAACTTCTGGAGATCAGTAATGTGAATTTATTTAACTCTATTGAACTTTACACTTCAAGATGACATTTTTAAACCACATTTTTAAAAAATTGAAAACAAACCCAGAGATAAAAGCCTTACCTCTGAAATCAGGTGAGCTAACGATGAAGGTAAGATTGGTGATCAGTTCATATGTTTAAGGGAATTGTTCGAACTAGCTGGAGAGTGGCTTCTTAGTATTCTTGCAAAGCACATCCGAGTGGCATCCAGACTCGAATGGGCCATGCTCAGGCCCAACGCTGGCATGATTCTTGAGTCATTAGGAAGGATTCCTTACTATGGAGACCCCTGTCTTCTGGTCCCTCTGGTTTGCAGGTGGGGATGAACTGGAGGAATAAAGCCACGTTGTCCACGGGACATGTGTCCCTAGAACTTCCCAGGAGCAAAGACAATGGTGGAGGGAGACTCAGGGCCAAGCCCGCCAGGGTGACCCACAGGGTGGATGATGTCCCTGGGAAGGCAGGGCACCTTGGGCTTCTTGAGAGAGGAGAGGCAGGAGCAGAGTAGAATACCAAGAACCAGCCGGACCCTGGAGTGGGGACTGGGTCTTTCGCAGACCCTGCTTCCATGGAGCTCTCTTCTGTAAAAGTAACCAGCTGGGCTCAGAGTTTTAACTTGCCCTTGGTAGCCTGAGGCCACTGTGACTGTCATGGGCCAGAAGTGCTATAAAAACCTGATGAGTGTTTGGATTGAAGGTGTACCCATAGATGGGAAGAGAGGAGCTATTCCTGTTCGGGGATCCTGATGTCTTCACACACTTGCCTGACCCCCACTCCTGAAGCTCCTTGGTCATCATATCATATAAAGGAGGACTTGCAGACCTGTGCTATGGCCAGAGGGGCTGGGCATGGCGCTTGCTTCACTTTCCCAGAATGAATTCATCATCCTGGCAGTAAAAGAGAAAAGAGGTGGGGCGCCTGCTGGGCTGGGCTGGGCTAGGCTGCGACTGTTCTGGAGGAAGGGAAGAAGACCGGTGGCCTCAGACGATGGACATGGACTGCGAACTTGGCTGGGCCTCTGCTTTGTCGTTTGGGTCATGCTTTCCTTTCCTCTTGGGAGACATTAAATGGGAGCCTAGGGGGCGGAAGCATCAAGTGGCGCCGTTTCCTCCCTTCAGAGCCAACCCTGCTGGGCTTCTCGGGTCAGATCAGCCTTGGCCCGGGGTCAGCCCGGCGGGGAAAGCAGCCCCCCTCCGCTGGCGACCTCAGAGCTCTCGGGCACAGCCCCGCGCACCTGCCCCGCGCACCTGCCCCTCCCACGCCCGCCCCGCGAGCCTGCCGGGTCCGCACCTGCACCTGCCATTTGCCCGACTGGCCGCGCACCCAGCTGGCCCGCCCCTGCCCGACACGACCGCTGCCCGCCCCTTGCCTTCCTGACCCGGGCCTCCGGTGGCTGCTGTCGCCTGGGAGCTGCCGCCAGGGCCAGGAGTGGAGCGGCACCTGGAAGATGCGCCCATTGGTCAGCGGTGAGTGCGCCCCCGCCTCGGGGCAGGGGTAGGGGCGGGAAGGAGGACACCGGGGGGAGGGTCGCTTCCTGGCCCTGCCTGGGACCCTCCAAACTGAGTAAAAGGGTGAGAGCTGGCGCTTGGCGCCGAGGCTAGTCTTAGACCTGGGATCAGGAACGTGGGAAGCGATTCCAGAGGGGGCGAACAGTGGTGGTTTCTAGCAGGGTTCCCCGACCTTGTGTCTCGCGCTCGCCCGGCCTATTCCTGCCGCCCCAGCCGGGGTGCATGGGGTAGGAGAGGAACCTGGAATGTAACATTGTAACATTTTACTTGGAAAGTAGGTTGGAGGGGAGCCCAGGCACAGCCCCGCACCCCTCCCGGGCTCCCCACGCTTCTCCTTCCTGGAGAGGGTACATGCCTGCCCGCGCCCCTGACCTCGCACGCCAGGTAGGGGCTGGCCTCTGCCAGTTGATAAGGCTGTTTTTTCCCCCATTTTTCAAACGACTTGACACTAGACAATTTGGAAAAATAGGAAAAAGGAAAGAAGAAACCCATTATTTTGACCAGTCATCGCCGTTTCTTGCAGTCTGTCTTAGCTGTGCCTCAGTCCTCTGTCACTTTCCTGTCACAGGCCATCTCGGGTCCTGGTGTCCACTGCCCTCGCCTCTGTCACACATGCCCTTTCTAATTGGTTTTGCGGGTCTCCTCCTATAATCTGAAGAATGTGGATTCCTCCTGGAGCGACGCAGCCTGGCTGTGTGAAATGGAAGGTTCAGAAGTGGGAAGTTCTCTGGGCCTCTTCGGTAGATCACTTCCTGGTCTGGGATCTCAGGTCCTCTGTGGTGAGGGTGTTGGACTAAACCATCGCCATTCCTGCCAGCACCAGCATTCTGGTGGTGATCACACTCCAGCAAGTTCTAAATGCTGTCTTTTCTGCACCATTCCCAAATGTAGGAAAGCCGCATTTTCAGATTTTTGCTTTGTGTAAAATATTCATATTTTCCTTAAAAACTATGAATGACACTGTTTTTGATAACTTGTGTGGATTGTAGGAGAGGTATGTATCTCCTTCCTTAGGGCACCAACTTTCATTATAGCTATTCTGGAAGAGTGTTTTCCATTATTTCTGTATTGTATAATTATTATTTCCTGGTGACTTATGGACAATACTGAATATGATTACATTGCTTTCCCTCACTTTTGATTTTATGAACTAAAGATCAGGAGACATTCTTGGAGTGGGCGTTGTCCTGGACGCTTCTGTCCAGTGCTGGGTTTGCTCCAGGCAGACGTTCCCAGGAGGGACATTCAGACTGAATGAAAGGAGCAAGTTGAGCCGCCACCATGCCTTCACCTGCAGGGCCTGGTAGTGGGTATCTTAATGCCTTGAAATGGGCATTGGCGTATGGACAGTCAAGGCGGGTTATGCTGCACACCTGCTGTGGTGTTTCAGAGTGGCCCTTCCTAGCACTTCTGCCAAAAAGCCCTCCTGCCCAGTGCCCAGGACAGTGATGACAGTGGACACTGAGGCCAGCAAAGCCTAGGATCCCAAAGACAGTGAGTCCCAAAATACGGACCATCCACCCTCAGCAATCCTGGCCTCTCAAGTACAAAAGGTGTGGGTGTGGCCTTCATGGTGAGGTGATCTGAATACATGTTGGCAAGGCAGCAGTGACAGCAGCTTCCCTGTCCTCATTCAGGTTGAAGGAAATCCCATCAATAGAAGTGGATCCTAGGGCCTGAGATTGCCCTTTTTAGGTGGCCCTTGGATTGGAGGGAGGGAGAGAGCCCTAAAATCCTCCTAGCTGTAACCCGGTGTCATATCCATTTGGTTTCAGGATTACTTTCTTTCTGGCACTTTTTAGATGTTTATTGTTTACAGACAGGGTCTTGCTCTGTAGCCCAGACTGAAGTGCAATGGAGTGATTATAGCTCACTGCAGCCTTGAACTCGTAGGTTCAAGTAATCCTCCTGCCTCAGCCTCCTGAGTAGCTGAGAGTACAGACACATGCCACCATGCCCAGCTAATTTTTTTAAACTTTTTGTAGAGATGGGGTCTTGCTATGTTGCCTAGGCTGGTCTTGAACTCCTGGCCTCAAGTTGAACTCCTGGGCTCCTCGGCTTTCCAAAATGCTGAGGTAACAGGTGTGAGCCACTGCCCCCAGTTTCTGGCTCTTAAGTGAAGCAGCCAGGGCGCTCCTGAGACCCCTGTGGATCTCAGAGTGGGGATTGGCTGGGACACGTGCACGTGCACCCACACACATTCACACAGAGGCAGACACACTAGAGGTGAGTCTCTCAGGAGAAAGTTCACTGGCTTTCCTCCTGTGCTAAGAACAGCCTTTGCTCTAACACTCATCCTGTCTGCTGCTCAGCAAGCACAGTGGAAGACATTTCCATGAGCCGATGATGACTTTATTACCTTACGGGGAAAGGCAGGATCCTGGTTACAAAATCACAGAAGTGTTCCTGGACTCTGTACTTCCTGCCCCGCCTCTGAAGCTGCTGGGTCTCCTCCCCTTGGGACAGGCCCACCGGGGCTCCAGGAGTTGTCTTAGTGGAGGCCCTGGGCTCCCAAGCTTTCTTCTTCCCAAGTGTGTCCCAGCTTAGGGGCTGATTCTTCCCTGCTGCCCGGTGTCTGAGCCTCTGTCTTGACAGGCTGCCTTGGCTCCTGCCCATCCTGCTTTCACTCCCAGGAATGAGCTCTGATTGCTGGTGTTCAACCCACAGAGAGGCTGTGCCACAGCTCACCCGGTGCTATGTTGGGGCTGAATTGTGCCTCCCCGCACAACTCCCCAACCCCGTTTACATGTTGTCATCCTAATCCCTGCCCAGTATCTCAGAATGCAACTGGATCTGGAGATAGGGTTGTTAAAGAGGTATTTCAGGTATAATGAGGTCATCAGGGTGAGCCCTGATCCAGTCTGATTGGTGACCTTATAAGGAGGAGATGAAGACACACACACAGGCCCTGTGAGGACACAGGGAGAAGACACCATCCACAATCCAAGGAGAGAGGCTCAGAGGAACCTTGATCTTGGACTTCCAGCCTCCAGAATCTTGAGAAAATAAATTTCAATTTCAATTTTTTTTTTTTTTTTTTAAAGATGATGTCTTGCTGTCACCCAGGCTGGAGTGCAATATTGCAGTTGTAGCTCCCTGCAACCTCAAAGTTCTGGGCTCAGGCAATCCTGCCTCAGCCTCCTGAGTAATTGGGACTACAGGTCTGCACCGCCACACCTGACTATTCTTTTAAAATTTTTCTGTAGACATGGGGTCTCATTATGTTGCCCAGGATGGTCTCAAACTCCTGAGATCAAGCCATCCCTCCACCTTGGCCTCCCGAAGTGCTGGGATTACAGGCATGAGTTATTGAGCCCAGCCTAAATGTCTATTGTTGAAGCCTCCCAGTTTGTGTTTGTTTGTTATAGCAGCCTGAGGAAATGATGCTGCCTGCCTGGATTTTTTCTGTCACGTCCTGGCTACTATGTCCCGCCCTCTCTCTCGTGGCTGGGATACTGCTGTGACTTTGTGCTAGACCTGAGCACAGGCTGCTCGTCCAGCTTACCACCCATCTTCTGATGATGGGCCGACCCCAGTGCCGGCAGCTGGATCTGCCTCCGGACTCTAGGTCATGGCTTCTCCCAGCCAGGTGCATGTTGTAATCTACACTGTCCCCAGCCTAGAGGCCACTGGATGCGCCCCTCACCCAAAGCCACAGATACTCTCTAGTCTTCCTGGGAGTCCTGAAAAGTGTCCCAGAAGAGAGCTCCCTGCCACACCAGGACCCGCCATGGGCTAGCTACCTACCCTTCTTCTTGTGAGGACACTTGGCTTATTTATTCTCCATTTTCTTCTCTGTCATGTCCACCTATTTGTTTTTGTTCAGCTGAGGCCATAGTTACCTCTTCCTTTGTGTAGCTGCTTGTTACACATTCAAAAGGTAGATAATGTTCCTTTTCAACCTGCTCCAAGCTAAACAGCAGCTTGTTGCTCAGGATCTCAGGTGTGGTGTGTTGTCTAGAAGAGCCTCTGAACATTGTCTGGTTAGCCAGTTTCCTTCTTCAAATACAACACTTGGATGAAATAGTCCAGCTGTGACCCACATGCACAGGATACAGGGGGCGGCCCTTGCCTTTGTCACAGCTGTTGTCATAGCCCACTCTGCACTCTGTGTTCATCCAACAGAATTTTCTGGAACATCAGTGACCCACACAGTGTCCCAGGCATGCTGCGTGGCCCTGGAGGGAGGCTTCTGTGGCATCTGTGTGGGCACTGTGGCTGGGCTGCGTAGGGAAGAGTACCCTCTAGGCAGAGACCACTGTTGCAGAGGAGTGAGCCCGGGAGTGTAGCGCCCACAGGTGGCTGAGCACAGCCGTTGGCGCTGCTGCAGGAGAGGGACCTGCAAGCTCACACCTGTCTCATTTTGTTTTCTGTGTCTGGTTTAACTACTTTGAGATGCTCCTCCAGTCCTAGAAACTGCACTGATCACACTGCCTTGGGCCTCTCCCCAGAGGAAACCACCTATGCTTACTAGTCTAACAATCTTAGCAGTTTGGAAATTCAAAATTTAAAAATGGTGTTGAACTATGCACTCGAAAAAGCAAAACAAAGCAAAACCCCAAGGCTAACCAGAAACATCTCCTTCCATCCCCATGGCTCCCTCTGCCGAAGCGCTGGGCCTCCTAGCACAAGCACATGCTGCCTTGGTGCAGTACAGCCAGTGCATGGGCTGGGGACAGCTGGGTTCCTGAGAAGGGAAGGACGATCCCTAGGTGCTGGAAGTCCAGGTGAGGTCCAGAGCTGCACCCTGGGTGGGTGGAGGGGTGGGGCCCATTGTTGGGTCCTTCAGACTCGACATTCCCTTCTCTTCCTTTCCTTTTTCCTCCTTTCCTCATTTCCCCTTCACTTACTTTCTTCTTTCCTCCCTGTCTCTCTCCCTTCTTCCTTCCTTCTCTTAATTCTTAGGACTGTACCTATTAGCACATACTTAAATGCATTAGGCACATACACCATGACCCATCCTACTCAGGGCCTGTGGTCATCCCTGCATGGTAGCAATCTGGGTAAGCGAACTGCTGAATGAGTTCTGATCTATGCTGTATTTAGGGAGCAAATTCTAAAAGCCTAGGCCATGGGTTGCCTATGAAAAGATAGAGAGCTGTCCCCCAGGCCTCTGGTGACCCAGGAGGAGATCAATGTCTTTTCCTTGGAAATTGTGCTGCTCACATCAAACAAGAGAAGTAAGATATTGTTGCCAATCAACCAGAAATATATCTCCAGGGACTTTCTGTCATTGGGAACCTTGACTGGCCCAGCAGGCACATCCGCGATGATAGAACAGGTTTGGGGACTTTTCCCCAGTGTTACGTGACCAGGCCTTGACCCAGCAGAAATCTGTTGCATGCTTGCTGGCGTCAGCTACTATTCCCAGTGCTGGTGATATGGAAATAAACCAAAGGGACAGAGCTTTACCCCTGAAGTTTCAGTGTAATTGCAGGAGCGTGCTCAAATCCAGTTGTATCTCACAGGGGGAATAAGCCACTTTTGTTTTTTCAGGTTCACGTTGGGCATGCTGGTTCACAAGGTGCTTGATTAGCTGTTTTGACGTTAACATTCAAGGAAGCACTTAAGACCCAAACCAACAGCAAATACAACTTGCCCTTGAAAGCATTCCTGTCTTGTTTGTATTCTCTGATACTGTCTACTACGAAGGCCCTGACACCGCCTTCCACCTTGCCTATAACTCAGTCCCCTGACACTGGGCCAGGATGAAAAGCCACAGGAGGGATGGGGAGAGCCAAGGGCCGGGGCCACCACCAAGTCCTTCACAGCAGCTGCTTGGTATCCTCTCTGCAGGCCCGCTCAAGGTGGTGTTCCTGGTCCTTGCCTCCTTGTGTGCCTGGTATTCGGGATACTTACTCGCAGAGCTCATTCCAGATGCACCCCTGTCCAGTGCTGCCTATAGCATCCACAGCATCGGGGAGAGGCCTGTCCTCAAAGGTGAGTGCCGTGCTTGGGGCGGACGGCTGCCTTCATGGCTTGTGTGCAGAGGGAGGAGTGGTGGTTTCTGCCCCAGCTTGGGGCTTGGGGGGCCCTGATGGCTCTATATCAGGAAGGAGGAGGAGAGAAGTATTTTGCAGTTACTCATTTAGGTCCTACACCATTCTAAGGCATGTGCCGCTGCTGACCCCATGTGAGACTAGAACAGTGTGGCTTCTGGTTACCAGCACAAACCTGCAGCCTGACCTTGAACTGAGCTCTTTCAGCCCAGATCTTGGCTTCCTCCCATGGGAAGCACAGGAAGGTCCAGGTTCTGCGCTCCAGAATCATTTTAAGGTTTCTATCAGACTGAATAGCTGTTGGAAAGTCTTCTGTAATGTCTTGGGAAGCAAAAGCGAATAATTGAGTAGATGTGAAAGAAAGGTCAGACATTGTATGTCGGTGAACAGAGGCCCTCAACCATCAGCCTAGGAAAGGCCCAGCTCTCTGTAGGGTGGCTGCTTTCTGTCCTTCCCCGCAATCAAGGTGGGTTTTTCTGAGAGCCTGCTGTGTGCTGGGCATGTCCAGGAGCTAAGGAGAGACAGAGGACAAGCACACGAGGTCCCTGTCCCTTTGGCACTGAGACCCTAGTGAGGGGAGGTGACAGCTTAACACATGAACAAATGTGATTTGAGCATTTGTTCAATCACATTTGGAGGATGGGCGGGGAAAGCCTCTGAGAAGGAGGTGAAAATTGAGAAGCGATCTCAGTGAAGCAAGGGAGTAGACTGTGCTTGGTTCTGAGGGCTGTGTGCCAGTTTGGTTGGAAGCATCGTGGCTTAGTCCACGCAGGTTACTGTAAGAGAATACCATAGACTGGGGACTTTATAAACAACACATTTATTTCTCACAGTGTTGGAGGCTGGGAAGTTCAAGATCAAGGTACCTGCAGATTTCCTCTTGTCTAGGGGGTACCTGCATTCTGCTTCTAAGATGGCTCTTTTTGCCAAACGAGGTCTCTGAGGCCCCTTTCATAAGGGCACTACTCCCATTCCTGAAGGCTTCACCTGCCAAAGGCCCCACCTCCTAACACCAGCACACTGGGAGTTAGGTTCCAACATATGAATTTTGGGGGGACCTATTCAGTCCATAGCACATAAATTGCAAATTGGGGGCCCAGAGACAGACCTGAGATAAGATTTGTCTAAAAGCAAAACAAATGAAATATGGACAAATATTTTAAAATCAAGAGATTTCCCATAAAACTCCATGTTTATAGCATCTCTTGAAACAGTAGAAGCTCTTGTACCCCAGGCCCTCATTCCTGCAAGGCCACAATCAGCCACAGATGGGCAGGCTGTGGTTACACAAGGGCCAGATTCTGGCCGGGACCAAAGGCATTCATCCAGTGGCCCAGGTGTAAAGTCACAGGAACAGGGAAGGAACAAGGAAAATGAGGTCCTTGTGCTTTATACATAGAAAGAGTACCTACAAGTAACGCTGATTACTATGTTCTTTGCCCTGGTTTCAATCTTATTTTACAATACACATTCTGGGAAAGACTGAATTATTGCCAAAGGAAATGCCTACTGTCAAAGTCCATTTATTTATTAATTCAGCAGGTATACTTAGTAACAGCCTCCCTCTCTGGGCCATGGTCTGAGTGCACGTGTTTTAAGGTTCATCCTTTACTTCTAAGAACCTCAGAGTCTACTAGAGAAGAACTTAAAAGCCAAATCATAATGTTAGCTGTTGGGAAGGGGTGAAATTTCAAAGGATTTATTAAAAATTATGTTGGAAAACTGTGGAACACTCTGATAGTAGACTGCTCCCTTTTCAAAATTTCACTGCAAATAGATATGCTGGTATATTTTTAATACAAAAATAAAGTATAAAAATCAATTTGCACAAATATAAAAAACTGGGTAATGGTAAAATACTTCTGTAAAAACCATTTCTTTTCAGATTAATTACCTTTTATGACCCAAAAAAAAGGAGAAAAAATAACTTCATAGGAATTGACTATGACTGGGTGTTTTTATTTTTCAAAAGATTTTTGCCTTGAACTTGCCTGTCATCACACTTCCTTATTACATCTAGGCTATGGGTGAAGGATATGTGTGTCGAGGACATGGAAGACGCCCTCAAAGGGATTACTTTCTCTTTCAGTAATTTTTTACATATCATTCATTCATTCATTTTTATTTTAATAGCTTTAGGGGTACCAGTGGTTTTTGGTTACATGGATGAATTGTATAAGTGAAGGCTATGATTTTAGTGTACCCATTACTGAGTGGTATACGTCATACCCAATATGTAGTTTGTTATCCCTCACCCCCCTCTTACCCCCACTTCTGAGTCTCTAGTGTCCCTGATATCATTCTTATGCCTTTGCATGCCTGTGGCTTGGCTCCCACTTACAAGTAAGAACATGCAATATCTAGCTCTCCACTCCCGAGTTACTTCACTTAGAATAACGGCCTCCAGCTCCATCCAAGTTGCTGCACAAGACATTATCTTGTTCTTTTTTATGGCTGAGTGGTATTCCATGGCGTATATCTATCACATCTACTTTAAGCACTTAGATTGGTTCCATATGTTTGCAATTGTGAATTGTGCTGCAGTAAACATACACATGCATTTTTACACACAATTTAAAGTTTGTCCAGACAGTGGTGCCTCTGAAACCAGTCTTTTTAGAAGGGCTTATTAACGGGGTGGGCCAGGGACGTCCCCACCTTCTTCTTATGACTGAAGGAGGGCTGAGCTCCCAAAGGTGGTGGGAGAGGGGTGGCAAGTGGCCGTGATGTTCATGTCCTGGCTCCTGTGACTTGAAAGCTCCACTTTGGAGGGATATGGGACTGCTTGGGGCCTGCTGGGCTCAGCGTTTTGGGGCTAACCCTGCTGAGAGATCCAGGTGGGGAATGCTGCTTTGCAGCAAGGCTTATTTGGTGTTGGCAGCACCGGCATGGCTGGTGCGATGCTTTCAAGGAACAGCCTCACCCAAAACACAGGTGCCTTCCTGTCCACATGCTGCATGTACAGCCTCTTAGGGCTGCTCCCTCAAGCTCCTTCTAGGTTGATGTTGCTGAATTGTTAGGAAAGATGGTGTTTTCCCCAGCTTCAGAGCAAGTTCAAGGATTAAGGCTCAGGTCCTGGTATCAGTGCAGGTTCTGGGATTTCTCAGTTATACTTTGCTCATGCAGGGCACTGTCCTGCAGGATGTTCATCTTAGGTGTCCACAGGTGCCCCCATGCATTTACCTAGCGACCAACATGCTGCATCCGAATCTGAAGCACAGGAACAGACACATTCAGACTTGAGATTGGTACTGGGTACTGAGAGAAGCCACTGAGAAGCTAGAAAACGAAGAACTCAACACAGTTGTTAGAAATGGATGGAAACTAGGAATCCAGGAGCACATGGATGATTATCCATCCTTGAAAGGACTCATGGAGTTCCTCCAACACGGATGAGGACCCTGGTTCCTTGAGCCTATGGTCTGGTGGAAGACATTGGTGTTCCTTAACTAGAGCAAGGCCTGGTGGCTCTGCACTGGGCTAACTACCAAGGCAGAAAGGTGCTTTGGGCTGGGCTGATAGGACCTACAAGCTAAGTGAGAAGGAGAAGCCGTGCAGGAGGAGAGTGACCCTGGGAGGAGGGCTCCTGGGATCTGAGTGACTTCCATGTGTGGCCATCAGCATGTTAAAGACCGTAGGGCAATGAAGGATGGTGCATTCATTTCTTGCCTTTAAAGATTGGGTGTTCAGCCTTATGGTTAGGTTGGGCCGGGGCTTGGTCTATAAACCAGAAGCATCAAGGGAACTGCCTTTCCTGCGTGTTTGCAAAGCACAGACCTTGCTGTTCTGGTCAGAAGCTCTTTCCAGCCAGGCTAGGTCTGGGCAAGCCAGAGAGGCATTCTCGAGTCACACAAGTGTAGGGCTCAGCACCTATACTTAATTTAAATTCATTTAATCCTGTCTTCCTTTGACATTTTGATATTTGTTCATCGTGGGTTATTTTGCATTCATGTTGTTTTTTAAACAATTATTGCATTCAGCTGTTACTTATTTTGATTCTTGAGCTTTTGGGTACCCCCTTAAGCTTCACACCTGAAGCCAGCACCTCACTGGCCTCACCCCAGTTCCAGCTACTCCTGTCTCTCTCTCAGACATGTTGTCACTACAAGTGCATGTGGAAGAAGGCTAGAAGCGTCTCAGTGCAATGCTACCTTAGATTGAAAAAAAGGTGCTCTGCTGACCAAGACAGAGAGGTGCCTGTGGATGGTGATTTTGTACAGGAGTGCTAAGCAGGCATTGCAGGGGTTCGCACCACTGAACCCATTTGTAGATGTAATGGCCACCCGTTTAGGTGAATGTGAGCAGATACAAAGGAATAAAGACGGCCCAGCCTGCCCCAGGCTTGCTGTGTAAGTGGTGTGGGGGGAGCAGGGGAGGGTCATCTCTCAGGCTGATGGGAAGGTTGCTGCTGAGCTTCGACACCCTGTCACCTCTCGAGTGTCAGTTAGCACATTAATTCAAGCATTGCTGTTCGAGGGGACTGCCCAGCGAGGCAGAAACAAGACACACTTGGCAGAGTATGAGAACACGGAAGGATGGCTAATACGGCCTTTCCATGTCTGAATGGGCATCGCTGCAGAAGTGAATGAACCATGTTTTCCTCCTTGTTCTAAGAAGACAGCGCTGAGCCCACCAGCTTCCACAGCTAGCTAGAGGACGAAGCTGCAAGGCACAGATTGGGAGCCAGAATTTTTAGTAGTTAGGATTTTGAAGAGCAGATCCAGCTGCCCAGGAAACTTGGGAGCTCGAAGTCACCCCTTGCCCACCCCTCATCCTATGCCCAGAGTTCCAAGGAAAGTGACCCTGAGGTGCTTCTCAATACCACATTTGAGTCTTTTTTCTCAAAATCGATCTTTTAATTATAGTATGCTATGTGGTCATCAACACAGTGATACACAGGAGTTTCTTAGACATATGCAGCACGAAGCATGCCATACACAT